TTATACCTGGTGCAGGTGATAGAGTTATGCCCACCATTATAGGCAATGAACATTGCCTATGGCTACCTGTTGTTTTTACCTTTGTAATATTTTTACCCTTACCTATATAGTATCTTACAGTTGTGCCAATGACCTCGTTTTATTGTTATTATTCTTATATATATTCTTATGTATTTCATAACCAAAAAATTATGTTAATCTGAATAGTTACAAATTTGCAGTGATTATTGATATTTGGGAAAAATTCCAGACTTCATAAGAACAAAAGATCTTTGATGAATGAAAGTTATCCGTTTTGAGGAGATATTATAGAATTTATATTGTCAGGAAATTAATTAATTGAACGCATTATTTGCTACAAATGCTCAAACGTGCAATCAAAACAGTTGGTAAATAGAAATGTTATTACAGTATCCACGATATAGGATTTCATATATATGAATGTCCCGAGGCCTAGTGTTCATCTAAATCGATTTAAATGGTGCATTAATGAAGGTCAGCTCATGTACAAAAATGTATCTGAAATACACTTGATAGAACCGACTTTAATGGCTGAATATGTATCTTGAAGGGAGATGGATCCAGGTAAGTATAAAAAGTGATCTGCCAATAATCCATGAATGAAAGGAAGAAAGCGGCCTGCTATTGAAAGATATGTGAAAATTACTTACAGGGGCAATGTAACACCCAAGGCTGAGGTGACTATGATAGTAAGCTTTTTGTCTAGAAACCACAGGAGAGCTAACACACCTGTATAAGTCTTTATACAATGTATAGCGAGAGTACCAGTGAGGTCATTATTCCTATGTGATAGTCAGTCTGCAAGTAAATTCTAAATCCGATATGTTATATAAGCAACAGAATCTCCAAACTTGCTTCAGTACTAAGTATGTATATCACCAAATTTTCTGTTTATAAGGGTAAAATAGGTGTAACTTATACAGGTAAAATAGGTGTAACTTATACAGGTAAAATAGGAGTAAGTGATTAGTCGTCATTCCTTACCCTGGATGACTGTTGAATGCAAATATACATAGATCGTAAACAAAGATAACGAGACAACGTACCATACCTGGTCATAATAAACAGACATACATCTGATAATAAACACAAAATAATTTTTTGTTACTGAAAGTCATACTCACTGTTACTATCATCAAAAGATTCCGAAGGCTTCTTTCTAAAACTCTCTCCAGTGTGTTTTATAAAGATATAGGTTGCAACCATTTTTGTTGACATGTGTGCGTGCAAGGTAACGCTACTTGACTGATATAGAAGAAGCCAATAGTTAGATCCCACCTTGCGATTTAAATGATAATACCTAGATAACATGAAGGGGTATCGTTATTTTGTCCGCTTGGTACGGAAAGACAGGTATCTCAATATAGAACAAAATATGAGTAATCAAAAGATGATAGCAAATTAACAAAGATGTATATTTTAAGCCTTAAGAAAGGGAGACATAAAACTGATGAATGATAATCCTTAGTTTATTTTTTCTGCTCGAAAATTATCATCGATAAGGTACTCAATATGTTTTAATGTATACATCTTTTATTTGTTGAAATACAATTTTGTAACCATCTCTTTTTAAGATGTCTTTCTCCCCTTTACACAGTTATCAGGTCATTTTAATTTTTATTATTATTATTGGTTTTTTTTTTTTTTTTTTTTTGCATTTCTAATAACATGTAATATATACAGAATACTTCTATTTGATGCATTAAATCGTTTTCACAATGTCTTAATGAACCTGCTGCCCACTGAATTCGCTTAACTAATATTTTTGCATATGTCACAAATTAAAATACACAAGAGCGTTATTTCTATTGAAAAAAAGTTGTAGTGGACAATGCCTTACGGCAGTAATTGAATTGGTTGAACAAAATTGCTGTATCACCGTAATTTTGTCCTTAGGTTTACTGTAAAACATGAGAAAAAGTTAGTTTTTTTTTAGTTTTTAAGTTTCGTTTCGTAAATCTCATATGAAATGAAAACTCATTGAACATGCTGTATTAAACATGTTGTTTCATGAAAATATATCTGAATGTAAAGCGTCGAAGATCTTAGTGTTGATTGGTTTTATGTTATCATTATAATTAAAACCAACACCTACAAAGATATTTGGAACATATCAATGCTTCAAATAGAGCAAATTGTCACAAGATTTACTAACTCGATGGTTTATATGAAATGGGTATTAATGTAAAATATTTACAACATGTTTACTTACAACTTGTATGACTTTACGTTTCAATTTGCAAGAGACTGGTGTGAATATTGTCACGAGTATGTTGGGAAACATTCTTATCCCATGTATAATATGTAGGTTTATTCGATGCTCGTTAGTTTGTCTGATGTCACTTTATTTTTAACCTTATACTTATTTGAGATCAAGTTTTACTGATTTTAATCTTTTGCAAGTTTTCAAGGTTCTGGTTAAAGACCTCTCCACATCTTGCCCTTGCTCATGCGATTTTGTAGACATGCCGTTATCCTCATACCATCATATATCATCAATATAACAACTTAATATGTCTATAAGTTTTACTAAATTTAAACCTACTATTTTAAAGTGTGATTCAACGTTAACATACAAGTATTTTTATTTATGAAATACCTCGAATACTTCTTCAAACTTTAGATACAAGACATAATGTTCCCCGGATTCCACAGGAGGGAAAGGCTGACTCACAAATTAGAGTCATGGCACAATCCAAGTGATAAAATTATATGAATATACTTTTTTATCAATCAAGTGATTTGATGAATGAAAATTGTCACAGAAAAAAAAAACGGGAACATGATACGTGCAATCTATCAGTCTATGAAAAAAATTAATCTCCCTGCTGCTTGTGGTTAGTAGTTGGATAATGTATGTTGATATGGTATTTAAATTCACACCTTACAACTGAGAAATCTCATCCGACAAAGGTTATGTCTGATCATTCTATATATTACAAAACATGGCAATCACATTTAATATAATGACTCAGCAAATACTTAACGCAGAGATAATAAAATGTTTATCAGTTATAAAACCAGTATGGATATATAAATCGATATTATTTCAAAGGATAAAAACTTTGATGCAATTGTTCAACGTTATGAAACCATGGCAGCAAGATCTCTTACAAACTATTTCCTGTGCAGCTTCTAGAGAAAGTGACAGGTGTATTTTGTATATAGTTTTAATTTAGAAATATTGATTTTACGAAGCCCATAACTACAATGCAATGTTCACACGAAAATAATGTTATTGCTTCAAAAACTCGCTCACACGATACGTCTACAATGTTCTAAAAGCACAGGTTAAATAATACAATAGTTATTTACCTTTTGTTCCTATGTACGTTTATTTCACATTCGCGTATGTAGATTTGACAGGAACCTAAACATTTTTGAAAATATTTCTTGTCGATGATTATCATTACTTTCCACATGTATCGATTAAAAGCCAACCCAAGTGATTTCCTTCGGTTTTCCTCACTTTGTATAAGACTGGAGTTCATAAGTTCATCGACTCCAGATCAACATAAAAAGGCGATATAACGTCAACTCAAAAACCAAACTGTAGGCCTTAAGTAACTTACATGTGATACATGACATATCGCCTCACCTATGTAAAGCCTTTCACCACTATGAAGTTCCAGTGACAAGTAGTGTAGGAAAGAGAGCACGGACAAGAATAACTGCGACGGACGGACGGTTGAACGGCGAGACTGACGTACACAACGCAAAACTTTAGAAGATAGAACACAGACAAACTTTTTCTCAGATATATGTAAAAGATTTGTTTAGTGAAGTTTGTCGTTTGGTACATTACGCATCGCCTCATCTAGATGATATGCCCCAACTATGAAGTCCAGTGGACAAGAGATGTAGGGGATAGAGGTTTTTACCGGATAATGTCCAATGGCAAGTTCACATACTTTTGATACAAGACAAGTCACTTTACCTAGGTGAAATCATGCTCAAGACAATATTAATTTACTATGACTACTAGTGATTGAGATAGAGCATTAGCAGCAAAGACGGGAGGAAAAATGGATACAATGCAATTCAGATTATCCATGGAGTCCTCCGATAAAGCACTTGATGCTGTCTAATGGTGGAGGATAAGCACAATGGAAACCTATTTTACCATCGTAGGGAAATCAAAAATATGCGTGCAGTTTGGGTTTAAAGCTACTTACATTTAGCACCAGCAACACCACTTCTTTTCTCAGAAAAAGTGACTCCATTTGAAAATTCCGTTTAATTCGGATTCGCGCAGACATTTGTCAGAATCGTATCATAACATATAATGAAGTGTTAAAATAATATCATGATGTAATGTTATGTAGCAATGCTACCATGACGTTTGTGAATAATATTATAGCGGAATGGTTTAACGATACAATATCACAATTTCATATTTGATATCATTTATAGATCACACTAATTCATTTAATGGAGGAATAATAAAATATCAGGTTGAATCTAAATAATTTGATGATGAAACTTAACCATATATTGATTAACTAGAATATTGCAATGATAAAACCAAATCTTATAAAGACAACAGCTTATGATATAATGGTGGCACAGTATCAAACAATGAACACGTCATATAATACAATGCTTAGATTAAACAATATATTAATGAGATACACAACTTATCTTAACAATTATATATAAATAAAACTGATAATAAATACAACCTTTGATAAGTACAACAGTTGACAAGAACAAAAATACTTTCACTCATACCTGGTGTTGTCTGACAGAAATGTTGCCACATATACCTAATGTGTCCTACAGAACTGATGACATACAAACCTAATGTTATTAAGAATCATCGATACACATAGATGGTATTGTCAGGAAATGTTGACTCAAATACCTATGTTGTCACGCAGATAATGTATAAAAATGTTGACAAAAATACCCGATGTTGTTGCTCAACAACTTTGCCACACATACCTACTATTGTCACACAGAAATATTGACAAACGTACCTGGAAGTGTCGGTGGAAAATACCTTAGTGCAGGTAAACCTGTAAGTGTTACCTGAAAACTGAAAAAAGATCAACAAATATCAAAAGCGTTTCTCCTCTGGAATCGACGTTATATGGTGTGTGTAAGGGCAATAAAATATTTACTAATTATGAATCGTGTTTGACGATATTAATAATATACATCTGAGGGACAGAAGGCTTGTTTTTATTAATATACTTTAGATTAGATAATTAACATGAGACGAAGTCGAGCGTGAATACCACAAAATTCATGATGCATAAAAATAAAGTCAGCCATCCCAATTCTAAAGCAATTTTATTCTAAAAGTGATGTGATTATCAAAGATATCAAAGAAAGTAAACGAAAACTGAAAAAAACTACACAATTGTGTTCGAAATGGTCCCTCATATGTTCTTGGCAAATCAAAACATCTTTTGGTGACGTCAAGTTGTCGATAGGTTACAGCCAGGCTGTAGTCCAGTCATTTGAAACTTTTTTTTGGTATTGACTCCTAGTGTACATGATCAAACTCATGCCCATCTCAGAGTGGGAAAGGTATATATTTACTAAAATAGATCGACATAACAACTGTTATGGTGGAGTGGTATCGACAAAAAATCATTGTCAGTGTGTTTGTTTTAAATGGAGATTTTGATTTATATATCATTATCTACAGAATTATCAAGTAGATGTAGGAGACCGTAATACTCGAACAGTAGTTGAGATCTTATTAATTAAAGAAGACCCCCGATTAAGAATATATCCCAATGTAACGGTTATCGCCTGTATTGACATTCGGACATTACCGGCAAACACACTGGAAGCGGGGAAAAGTGAATCAGAATTTGATTAACATTTTACTCTCCACAGCACATTTCGGTAAACCATACTAGCATTCTGTTATGATAAAGTGTTGACTATCTGCCTCAACTGGAATGGTGGTCGCCATCTTTGGGCGAGCGTCAAAATTAATGAGTATATCATGGATAAGATCATGAAAATTATTCGATTAACAACGCGTTTCATAAAATTTGTTTTAAAATTTAAAGTTTATCTTTATTGTGAATGATAAGAAATGAAGAAGGAGTATATAATAAAGACTAATGCATCGCGGTTGAAGATTTTGATGAATATGTAAGTGTAATTTTGTATGGTATTTCTTTAGTTTGGAGAAATTTTGATCACTTAATCAAAAGACAGCGTCTATCTAAATCATTAGAAATAAAATTGTCTGAACACATTATATGATATATTATAACAGCTAAGTTGGCATTATCACTTTTTTCAGAAGTAGATCCTAACACCGTTCAATAGAGCGTTGAAACATTAACCTAAATCACAAACCTGAAAGGTCCATCGTTGATTAGATAGGAAGATTGGTTCATATACCGGCAATCATTCGGTATAGAGGGCTCACAATATCCGGTTGTTTTAATCTCAGAAATAAAGACGTTTATCTAAAATAAAAAACGATGATACATGTGTATGGCAAAGTAACATGCTGGAAATGTCAAATCAACTACAGACTTCTCTGCTGTAATTGCTTATTGCTTGTACTTGTATCAAATTATACATGTTTTGAAAGATATTATAACAGAATATTTAGAAATAAGTCTGTGATGTACCAACTTGTTCTTTAACACGTAAAATTGGGCCTCAAATATATTCGGATGGACCAACATGGATGTTAAGTGATGTGTGTAAATGATATCAAAATGTTCATAATGATATAAATAGATATCACGTGATTAGTTCACCAATGATCAGTGAGCATTGGGAGATATGTGAAAATCGAAAAGCCGTAAATAAAGTGATATCAAAAGAAACAGACAACGGAAAATGTCACTGATATTGTAGAGGTTTGTCGTAACTATGTATTTAATGTTGATTAAAATTTATTATTAATTTAAAAATAGAATTGAAGGAACGTTTACGATTAATCAACATTTATCGTAAGTAGCCATTTTGGGGTGTCTCACGTTCGAACCCTTCAGATCGAGTCCATTATATAATCTTTGATGAATAGCAGTTTTATTTTATCAGTAAAATGAAAATTCAAGCAGTGTGCAGTGTGAAAAATATTGAGTTTCTCTAAAAGTTAAAAACATCCCGTGAACAGATGAAGTGTATGTTGTCTGTTTTAAGGAACTTACCTTTGGTCATTTTCCATTTATTTCAGTTAACTAAAAAGAGTATTGGCATTCAAATGACAATTGATTTCTAAAAAAAAACTTGTCATGAGGGATTTCATTTCGCTAGCTTCTGTATGAACACATCAAATGATCAAACAAGCAGATCATTTTTCAATGTTAACGTTTAGACTTCTTTCCTTGATAGAACATAATATGCTAGAGGCATTGTGGTCTGAGGTCGCTCCGTCAAGTCTCCTTTAGCCATTTACGTGCAATTCAAGTGTAAAAATGACAACGATAACAGTGCTAAAATTGAAAATAGAGATATAAAAAACCTTGAATTCGGACTTTTTTGAGGAGAGGTAAATTTGTTATCCATCTTTATTTGGTGAGATCGGTAACTGCCCTATTGAAGTGACTCAAACAGATTTCAGTATGGAATGTAAATTTTAGATAAAGGATCTGCGTATAAGTATGTCGATATCAGGTGATACTTACGATGTGTTTAGTTTTTTAATGTTATTAAGAGCTTCATGAATAGAAACCTTTCTTAAGGAACTTACTGCTGTTTCGTTGTGGATGTTCTGAGGTGTAAAATAAAGGTTTGAATGATTTACACTTCGCATAGTCAGTTCTTTGCACTTGGTATCCAGGCAGTCAAGGGGTGCTCTTGTACTTGAGCAATGTCTGTAATATATTGATTAAAAATACTTAGTATTAATACTGCAGCAATGAATCTTACATAAATATATATATTTCTATTCTAATTGTCATCTTAAAAAGTATAGCATTAAAGCCGGTATCATCAAAGGCATTGAAACACTCGTGTTAGTGAATCTTAAAGCCTACTTTTCACTGTTTCGAGCAAATGGGAAGATAAACCTTTTCCAAGAGTGACCATTATATTGGTGACAAGGTGTTGATTGCATCTATGAATAGTGCTATTTCAAACACAAATCTTTGTGAATGAAGAGGTTTTCCATTAATTTACGTATTACTATATATGTGTTGGTTATAGATCAATGTTAAGACATGCTGTACACTGCATATATATATTTAATAATGATGATAATAATAATATATATATTTACAAATATTTCATAATTTAGAAAAAAAAACTGATCTCAAAAAGCAAAGTAAAGCAAAGTTATTATTAGTAAAGGAAAGGCATTACATACATTTTTTAAACGATGCATTTCGCTTCTTGAGATTTTACTTAGGAGTTCATAAAACACAATACGATGCACCAATATGTGAACATAAGCGTGATCCAAACTAGAATTCATTAAATTTAGGTCAAAATATGAACAAACGAAACATTAACACGGCGACTCATGAAAAAGTACAAGGAGAATGTATGTAAATCTTGGTCATTCCAGGTACATAAAGCATCAAGAAAATACCAGCATGGCAACATAATCATAATTTAAACTCATATTCCATACAACTAGGACTAAATATGAAAAGAAAGATTTATACGGAGACTCCTGAAAAAGAACAAGAATAATAAGACCATGTGTTGCGGAAGAGTAAGCGCCTTATGCCTCATCGACGACACCCGCCATGTAAATGCAAGTAATTTTTAAAAAAGCAATTTCACGTTATCAAATGAGAACAAAGTATGCAGCAAGGAAACCAAATGTAAGCTAAGTAGAATAAAACACGTCCAGCTTCATATCACACCAATAATTGTTCTTAATGGGATATCTATGACGACCGTTAAACTTCCCAATGATTTTTATACATCTGCTTAGCCAGTTAAGCGGCTGATATAAAAGTGTCGTGTCCTTGATTTTCAACTCTGGTTGTTATATACGATGGAAGTGGTCAAATCACATTATTTAAAGACGTCGTCATTATAGCTGAAAGAGAAATTTAAAGGACTTTGCAAAGTATTTTGACTTGTTCTAATAACTTCTTGCATAGATTGAGCCTTGTATGAAAACAAAGCACACTTCATGTGCTACACTTACATTTTTTGGGGTACCACTTTTCAACTTTCTTGAAATAGGAATTTCCCATTATAAGAGAACTTGAGAAGTCAGTAACCCAGATTTGAAAGTACAAAGAATGGTAGTAAAAAATTGGACTAAGGTTTGATTGTACAACTGGACTAGCCCTCATAAAAACGCCATTTATATGTATTCTTGTCAAGTTGACTAAACTAAGTAAACTGAGGAGGGAGGTCGTAATCCTTATCAGTAAAATGCGATTTAAACGATTGTAATTCTGAAGTATGTTTAGCCAATATTTGTTATTTAGAAAGATTACATTATATTTAGATGGGGATTCCTTTGTTATCGTTCTTTTTGTATGTAGGGGATGTATTGAAACCCCTATTTAAATAATGTTCAAAATTGAAATATTATTTCAATATTGAAAACCTTTATTGCAATAGTGGTCGCAGATTCAATTGAAATACGTCTACAATTGAAACAACGTCAAGTCTATAGAAATAATAATATTTCAATAGTGAACATTATTTTAGTAGGGGCATCAACAGAGGTGTAATAGTGTCTTGTGTTTATTTAGATTTCTCGCTGGTGGTTCTTTGAAGAGGAATGGACCAAATGGATTTAAGTCATTCAGTAAGTGAATCCAACACAGGTTGTTCTTGTTTACCAGTTTTCAGGCATAGTTTTCAACGGAATCCATAAGTATCTTGAAATTCATATTCAAGTTAATAAACGGGTTTCACAAATTTAGGACCCTTCATGAAAAGCTAATGTAGCCAATTTGTGGTGTTTACATGTCACAAATGTGTCGATATGCAAGTGCTTGTTCGAATTATCACTATTTTCGTGCAAGAAGTCGTTATCTAACGGACAAACTTGTAACACATGGTTTGAACAGATGCCTATTGAATAAAATCGTTGGGAAGTTTTATGATCGTCATAGTGATAACATGGAGAAATATTCTATTTCTTTTTGCAACATGAAGCTGAATGTGTTTGATGGTTTGATGATGAATCAGAAGACGCTTACTCTTTCGGAACATATTACCTTATTCATCTTTTTTTCATGAGTCTCCTTGTAAATCTTTCTTTTTTTCATATTTTGCCCCGATTTTATTGAATTTGAGTTCGGATTACGATTATGTTGACATTGAATATTATCTATATTATATTATATTTTTATAAGCAGGTGAAAAGTTATAAAAAGTTTGAAAGAAATTACGAGGGTATAAATGCATTGAATGTATGGTGGTATGTTAACTTTAACATACTTCTGGTGTAAAATAATGAAGTTAATAGTATCCTTTCCGATTCTTTTGCAAATTCATCTTTCATAAAGTTGCGAGTTGATATCTAACCGTGGTAATCTGTGCATTCAACATTCATGAATTGGCGAGTTGATAAAGAACCGCGGCTATCTGTGCAGTCATCGTTTATAAATTGGCGAGTTGATATAGAACCGTGTTTATCTGTGCAGTCATCGTTTATAAATTGGCGAATTGATATAGAACCGTGGTTATCTGTGCGGATAACTTAAAGAATTGCTTGGTATTCCTCCCCCCTCCCCCTCCAAAAAAAAAAAAAAAAGAATAATAAGATTTGTTGCATCCCTCAACTCCTGCACAAGTATCTTTGTTTAGTACGATTATATTTACCTATTAATTTTTACTAAATTGTTACTTCTGTATCAACTACGCATACATTAAAATGGCTGCAACTTCAATCTCGTTAACGTATGGGTGATAATAAATCAAGAATGCTTGATATATAAGTGACACACTTACCCGAGATCCGGAAGAATGAAGACACAAATCCGGAAATATAATGGACAAAGCAAATCGCAATCGACGGCAAGGTGTATATTGGAAATGCTTACAGATAGTTGGTGCGAAACTTCCATCGAAACTGCCATCATCTGGTGGAAACAACAGATAGATAGATAATGAAAGTTAAGATATTTTGTGATTATTTGTATCTATATAGTTATACTTCCATGATGAAGTCATATCTACAGTCTAACAGGTTTCATATTTGTTTCTGTCTTTGTCTCTATTTAGTTTAGATGATGCATTAATTTTAGCTGCCTGACTCCCTATTAAAAACACCAAACAGATATACCGATATTTGATGATTGAAACAGCGGAATCCAGTTCCTCCCACTTATTTGTATTTTGAGAGTATTCAGTTTCTTGGCGTATTGAATAATGTTAGATGAAACACCCTTAATAAGCTACTTAATACTACAAATACTAAATGCCAAAAAAAAAAAAAAAAAAACCTCCCTATTCATGCCAGTGTCACGTCAAATAGCCTCTTATGAAAATCTGTCGCCAACAAATAGTAGTGAATCTTTAAAAAATCTGCTTTTCAAAGACAGCGGCATGTTAGGAATAGCTAATTAATTATGATTTTCACACTTTTTTTTACCCATGTAAAATATGTGAAATACCGGAATTATGTCTTATTTTAGTTTCGAAATAAGTCTTATTTCATTATTCAAGCACTCTCGACACAAATTATATACCTGCTACAAGAATACAGCTTTACCTTTTTGGTTGTGGTTCATTTTATCATAGCACAAAGTGAAATATATACTTTTTCAGATACTCAAACAGAGGTAAAATATTTTGACAGCACTAGAATTGATTTTTTCACAACAGATTTTTGTTTGTTGGGTGAAGATTAAATGGCAAAAATTTCTTTTCAACTTTTCCCGTTCATGTTTTTTAGAAAGGTTCGATTTTAGGAAAAACAGTTAGTTTTAAAGTTAAAAAATGTGGTTTGTTGGTGTCCTTTTTTCTCTCTAGAAGTGTCAGGTTATGTTTAAATATGCATTAAAAAAAAGAATCAGAACCGTTACCTCTAGGAATGGAAGAACATCATACTCGGTATCAGAACCGTTACCTCTAGGAATGGAAGAAACATCATACTCGGTATCAGAACCGTTACCTCTAGGAATGGAAGAAACATCATACTCGGTATCGGAACCGTTACCTCTAGGAATGGAAGAACATCATACTCGGTATCAGAACCGTTACCTCTAGGAATGGAAGAAACATCATACTCGGTATCGGAACCGTTACCTCTAGGAATGGAAGAAACATCATACTCGGTGTCAGAACCGTTACCTCTAGGAATGGAAGAACATCATACTCGGTATCAGAACCGTTACCTCTAGGAATGGAAGAAACATCATACTCGGTGTCAGAACCGTTACCTCTAGGAATGGAAGAACATCATACTCGGTATCAGAACCGTTACCTCTAGGAATGGAAGAAACATCATACTCGGTATCAGAACCGTTACCTCTAGGAATGAAAGACACATCATACTCGGTATCGGACCCGTTACCTCTAGGAACGGAAGAAACATCCTACTTAGTATCAGAACCGTTACCTCCAGGAATGGAGATATTGCAGCCAATAATTAGCCCCAACGATAAGGTTTTCAAAATTCGGAAAAGAATTATACCACTCAAAGCAATATCTGGACTAAAGTGACAGCCATGACAAAAAATAGTGGCAACGTCTTGGTAAATCCGGGAACAAAATCGATTAGTAAATCGATATTAATAATATTGACAATTGATATTGAATCAAGACGAAGTTCGAGACAACTCTCAAACAAGGGACCGAGGAGGCATTTTATTTATGCTTACATCGTTAATAAACGTCTTGTCTAAGAAACGTTTCGAAGAATCACATAATTTAGTCACCATAATAGGAACAAGAATGTGTTCTTTTAAATACTTAATGCGCGCCATGATAACGGCATACATGCATTCCTCTTCCGAGCTTTGACTAGAAAAAAGAATAGAACCTATACAAAAGTGAGATAGTAATAAAGATTTAACTCTCACAGAACAATAAGTAGGTACAGCTGTAGTATCTATTTCTTATTCTGTGACTGGAAACCACTCATTCCCTACATAGATCACAAAATCTCCAATGTTTCGTATCTAAAAATTGCTAAAATAGAATTTCGATAACAAAACGTAACTGAAATAGTACGTTATTATCTAAATTTACTTACGATGATGATTAGAATATGTACATTTCCAGATAACGCCATTGTCCTGTCAGAGTGACGCCGATAAACTGAATAGTATCAATGTTCTCCTCTCGATACCTTTATCCTCGTGTTACGAAAGCATATACTGACAACACCGTGTCCTCTACTTTACAGAATAAACATGTCTCATTATAACACAACTGTCAGTCATACCTAAGCATGTTATCACGAGGGACTTTATCGAACACAAAAGGTATTGAATAAATATCTTAACTGAATGAAGCAACGCCTGGATAACAAGCATCTTTCCTTGTGTATAGCTTACAGCGAGAAACAAAATGACTTGAACATGCACATACAAACACAATTCACTGTTTCGGCCTTTTTTGAAATGATATCTGAAATGAATGAATCAACACCTGTATTAGAAGCATCTTTGCCTGTATAATGTTTACAGCGAATAAACAGATGTTTGCAGGAAATCAGTAAGACTTTATTGGTACATTCAAGGACAAACAAAGTATTTTGCTTCTTTCCTAGAAATATTAAAAAAGCGTGGTAGCAGAGTAAATGAAGCGGTTTTTGATATGATAAAAGGTGATGTTAAAATAGAATGACCGCAAAACTTTCCTTGTATATTTGAATACTTAAAGTCAATTTGGTTATTGGTGAAAATGACGAAATGATAAAATTGTATTTTTGAATGTTATTATTTGAAAAAACCGAATGAGTTGAGTGTTTGAAAACTTTTATTAAATCACACGAAATTTTCCAGTAATGATGATAACTAAACGACACGATGTTCCGTTCGATTTATTTTGTCCTCCACATTTTGACTTTAAATCTGTGAATTTAAATGTAAATGTTCTGAGTTATGTAGTAAATGATATTGATATCTAAAATTTGTTCTTATTTCCGATGCAATTTTATGAAACTCGTCTCGAAGTTTTAGTTTTTGCTATCAGCAAAGTTCGCAATTTAAAAACTTCTGAAACATGTCCCATAAAATCTCTAACAAAATGAAAATTTATTGGAGATTTTTACACGTTGTTTCTTTATGGTATCTTCATCGTAAAGCGTTGTTTCAAAGACTTACTTTGTCTTTTATACTTTGAGACTAATTAAGAACTGATTACCAACTCCTGTCCTCTATTTCTGTTAAGCAAAAATGACTTGAACATACACATACAAATATAATTACTGTTTCGTCTTTTTTTTAATTGACTGTTTGTACCTGGAAAAATCAGTACTACATATTTGAATCGAGCAAACCAACATTCAGAATGTACAAAAAACACAAGTAAATGACACCTTTCAATACATATTCAAATTTAGATACCATAGAATCAACCAATTAATAAAGCTGTATCATATAGTTTTTTCGTATTTAGATACCATAGAATCAACCAATTAATAAAGCTGTATCACATAGCTGTTTCGTATTTAGATACCATAGAATCAACCAATTAATAAAGCTGTATCACATAGTTGTTTCGTCATTTGAGGGCTCGTAAGTGATGCTAAGAACTTAAACTTTGAAATTGAAGAAACGACTAAGGAAAACATAAACTAACCAAATTGATTTATAATTGAGATGAGTAGGCGCATCAGCCTTAAAGCCTGTTGTTTGCATTGAAATGTCCACATAAATTAGGTTTCAATTCAAAACATTCATAAACTTTCATGTTTACGACTTACAGAAGAAATCCAATTTTGTTTATTCTCAAACAAGTGTTTAATAAGAGATGATATCTAGGTTCTTTTGTGGTTCCGTTTTGTTTAACCTTGTTCTCGTTTGAAAACATGCCTTAGTTACAATGACCAAGAGTTGAATGGCGATTGTCGTCGGTGACGCTAATGACGCTTACACTTTCAGAAGACTTTTTAAAAATTTGTGAAAAAAAATCAAAGGTCTTCCAATAAAATTTTTCATTTATTCAAACTCTTCACTCGTCGATTGCATAAACATGTGTGAACCCTTGTATCATTGTCGTTATAGTGGTTGTTTCCAGTGCATCCCAAACCAAATCGACCAAGTGACTTTACGATTCATCATCGTGAAGCACTGTACGTATAATTTTCCGTCAATTGAAAAAAGAAATGATCGATGTCAGTTCGTTGCTGTTCGCTGTTAGATTGTTGGGTAGTATATATCGGTATACAACTGTTTAAATTGACACCTGACTACTAAGAAATTACATCCGTCAAAATGTTTTGTCGGTACATTACTCTATATATCACAATAAACATGACAGTCCAACTTGATATAATGACTGAGTAAATACACAAGATGCAATCTCAGAGATAACCATGCGTCTATCTAGTATAAACCATTTCATTGGGATATGTAATTAATGTTATTTGAATGTAAAGGTCTTTGATGTTATTGTTCACCAGAATGAAACCATGGCAACAAGATTAGTATTTTCTGGACAGCTACTAGGAGAAGGTGACAGACACATTATGTATGTTGTTGTTATCTTCGTTTTAATTCGGAAATATTGATTTTTAAGTTGTCCTTGACATCAATGAAATGTTCATACGAAAATTGATCCCTATAAGAATGCCGTTACTACAAGCCCGTATACCTGTTACCCGTCTGAGTGGTTTCCAGTCACGGAATAAGAAATAGATACTACAGCTGTACCTACTTATTGTTCTGTGAGAGCTAAATCTTTATTACTATCTCACTTTTGTATAGGTTCTATTCTTTTTTCTAGTCAAAGCTCGGAAGAGGAATGCATGTATGCCGTTATCATGGCGCGCATTAAGTATTTAAAAGAACACATTCTTGTTCCTATTATGGTGACTAAATTATGTGATTTTTCGAAATGTTTCTTAGACAAGACGTTTATTAACGATGTAAGCATAAATAAAATGCCTCCTCGGTCCCTTGTTTGAGAGTTGTCTCGAACTTCGTCTTGATTCAATATCAATTATCAATATTATTAATATCGATTTACTAATCGACTTTGTTCCCGGATTTACCAAGACGTTGCCACTATTTTTGTCATGGTTGTCACTTTAGTCCAGATAATGTTTTGAGTGGTAGAATTTTTTTCCGAATTTTGAAAACCTTATCGTTGGGGCTAATAATTGGCTGTAATATCTCCATTCCTAGAGGTAACGGTTCTGATACTAAGTATGATGTTTCTTCCATTCCTAGAGGTAACGGTTCTGATACCAAGTAGAATGTTTCTTCCATTCCTAGAGGTAACGGTTCTGATACCGAGTATGATGTTTCTTCCATTCCTAGAGGTAACGGTTCTGATACCGAGTATGATGTTCTTCCATTCCTGAGGTAACGGTGACACCGATGTTTCTTCCATTCCTAGAGGTAACGGTTCTGATACCGAGTATGATGTTTCTTCCATTCCTAGAGGTAACGGTTCTGATACCGAGTATGATGTTTCTTCCATTCCTAGAGGTAACGGTTCCGATACCGAGTATGATTTTTCTTCCATTCCTAGAGGTAACGGTTCTGATACCAGTATGTTTCTTCCATTCCTAGAGGTAACGGTTATACCGAGTATGTTTCTTCCATTCCTAGAGGTAACGGTTCTGATACCGAGTATGATGTTTCTTCCATTCCTAGAGGTAACGGTTCTAAAAATTAGGTAACGGTTCTGATTTTTTTTTTAATGCATATTTAAACATAACCTGACACTTCTAGAGAGAAAAAAGGACACCAACAAACCACATTTTTTAACTTTAAAACTAACTGTTTTTCCTAAATCGAACCTTTCTAAAAAACATGAACGGGAAAAGTTGAAAAGAAATTTTTGCCATTTAATCTTCACCCAACAAACAAAAATCTGTTGTGAAAAAATCAATTCTAGTGCTGTCAAAATATTTTACCTCTGTTTGAGTATCTGAAAAAGTATATATTTCACTTTGTGCTATGATAAAATGAACCACAACCAAAAAGGTAAAGCTGTATTCTTGTAGCAGGTATATAATTTGTGTCGAGAGTGCTTGAATAATGAAATAAGACTTATTTCGAAACTAAAATAAGACATAATTCCGGTATTTCACATATTTTACATGGGTAAAAAAAAGTGTGAAAATCATAATTAATTAGCTATTCCTAACATGCCGCTGTCTTTGAAAAGCAGATTTTTTAAAGATTCACTACTATTTGTTGGCGACAGATTTTCATAAGAGGCTATTTGACGTGACACTGGCATGAATAGGGAGGTTTTTTTTTTTTTTTTTTGGCATTTAGTATTTGTAGTATTAAGTAGCTTATTAAGGGTGTTTCATCTAACATTATTCAATACGCCAAGAAACTGAATACTCTCAAAATACAAATAAGTGGGAGGAACTGGATTCCGCTGTTTCAATCATCAAATATCGGTATATCTGTTTGGTGTTTTTAATAGGGAGTCAGGCAGCTAAAATTAATGCATCATCTAAACTAAATAGAGACAAAGACAGAAACAAATATGAAACCTGTTAGACTGTAGATATGACTTCATCATGGAAGTATAACTATATAGATACAAATAATCACAAAATATCTTAACTTTCATTATCTATCTATCTGTTGTTTCCACCAGATGATGGCAGTTTCGATGGAAGTTTCGCACCAACTATCTGTAAGCATTTCCAATATACACCTTGCCGTCGATTGCGATTTGCTTTGTCCATTATATTTCCGGATTTGTGTCTTCATTCTTCCGGATCTCGGGTAAGTGTGTCACTTATATATCAAAGAAGCATTCTTGATTTATTATCACCCATACGTTAACGAGATTGAAGTTGCAGCCATTTTAATGTATGCGTAGTTGATACAGAAGTAACAATTTAGTAAAAATTAATAGGTAAATATAATCGTACTAAACAAAGATACTTGTGCAGGAGTTGAGGGATGCAACAAATCTTATTATTCTTTTTTTTTTTTTTGGAGGGGGAGGGGGGAGGAATACCAAGCAATTCTTTAAGTTATCCGCACAGATAACCACGGTTCTATATCAATTCGCCAATTTATAAACGATGACTGCACAGATAAACACGGTTCTATATCAACTCGCCAATTTATAAACGATGACTGCACAGATAGCCGCGGTTCTTTATCAACTCGCCAATTCATGAATGTTGAATGCACAGATTACCACGGTTAGATATCAACTCGCAACTTTATGAAAGATGAATTTGCAAAAGAATCGGAAAGGATACTATTAACTTCATTATTTTACACCAGAAGTATGTTAAAGTTAACATACCACCATACATTCAATGCATTTATACCCTCGTAATTTCTTTCAAACTTTTTATAACTTTTCACCTGCTTATAAAAATATAATATAATATAGATAATATTCAATGTCAACATAATCGTAATCCGAACTCAAATTCAATAAAATCGGGGCAAAATATGAAAAAAAGAAAGATTTACAAGGAGACTCATGAAAAAAAGATGAATAAGGTAATATGTTCCGAAAGAGTAAGCGTCTTCTGATTCATCATCAAACCATCAAACACATTCAGCTTCATGTTGCAAAAAGAAATAGAATATTTCTCCATGTTATCACTATGACGATCATAAAACTTCCCAACGATTTTATTCAATAGGCATCTGTTCAAACCATGTGTTACAAGTTTGTCCGTTAGATAACGACTTCTTGCACGAAAATAGTGATAATTCGAACAAGCACTTGCATATCGACACATTTGTGACATGTAAACACCACAAATTGGCTACATTAGCTTTTCATGAAGGGTCCTAAATTTGTGAAACCCGTTTATTAACTTGAATATGAATTTCAAGATACTTATGGATTCCGTTGAAAACTATGCCTGAAAACTGGTAAACAAGAACAACCTGTGTTGGATTCACTTACTGAATGACTTAAATCCATTTGGTCCATTCCTCTTCAAAGAACCACCAGCGAGAAATCTAAATAAACACAAGACACTATTACACCTCTGTTGATGCCCCTACTAAAATAATGTTCACTATTGAAATATTATTATTTCTATAGACTTGACGTTGTTTCAATTGTAGACGTATTTCAATTGAATCTGCGACCACTATTGCAATAAAGGTTTTCAATATTGAAATAATATTTCAATTTTGAACATTATTTAAATAGGGGTTTCAATACATCCCCTACATACAAAAAGAACGATAACAAAGGAATCCCCATCTAAATATAATGTAATCTTTCTAAATAACAAATATTGGCTAAACATACTTCAGAATTACAATCGTTTAAATCGCATTTTACTGATAAGGATTACGACCTCCCTCCTCAGTTTACTTAGTTTAGTCAACTTGACAAGAATACATATAAATGGCGTTTTTATGAGGGCTAGTCCAGTTGTACAATCAAACCTTAGTCCAATTTTTTACTACCATTCTTTGTACTTTCAAATCTGGGTTACTGACTTCTCAAGTTCTCTTATAATGGGAAATTCCTATTTCAAGAAAGTTGAAAAGTGGTACCCCAAAAATGTAAGTGTAGCACATGAAGTGTGCTTTGTTTTCATACAAGGCTCAATCTATGCAAGAAGTTATTAGAACAAGTCAAAATACTTTGCAAAGTCCTTTAAATTTCTCTTTCAGCTATAATGACGACGTCTTTAAATAATGTGATTTGACCACTTCCATCGTATATAACAACCAGAGTTGAAAATCAAGGACACGACACTTTTATATCAGCCGCTTAACTGGCTAAGCAGATGTATAAAAATCATTGGGAAGTTTAACGGTCGTCATAGATATCCCATTAAGAACAATTATTGGTGTGATATGAAGCTGGACGTGTTTTATTCTACTTAGCTTACATTTGGTTTCATTGCTGCATACTTTGTTCTCATTTGATAACGTGAAATTGCTTTTTTAAAAATTACTTGCATTTACATGGCGGGTGTCGTCGATGAGGCATAAGGCGCTTACTCTTCCGCAACACATGGTCTTATTATTCTTGTTCTTTTTCAGGAGTCTCCGTATAAATCTTTCTTTTCATATTTAGTCCTAGTTGTATGGAATATGAGTTTAAATTATGATTATGTTGCCATGCTGGTATTTTCTTGATGCTTTATGTACCTGGAATGACCAAGATTTACATACATTCTCCTTGTACTTTTTCATGAGTCGCCGTGTTAATGTTTCGTTTGTTCATATTTTGACCTAAATTTAATGAATTCTAGTTTGGATCACGCTTATGTTCACATATTGGTGCATCGTATTGTGTTTTATGAACTCCTAAGTAAAATCTCAAGAAGCGAAATGCATCGTTTAAAAAATGTATGTAATGCCTTTCCTTTACTAATAATAACTTTGCTTTACTTTGCTTTTTGAGATCAGTTTTTTTTTCTAAATTATGAAATATTTGTAAATATATATATTATTATTATCATCATTATTAAATATATATATGCAGTGTACAGCATGTCTTAACATTGATCTATAACCAACACATATATAGTAATACGTAAATTAATGGAAAACCTCTTCATTCACAAAGATTTGTGTTTGAAATAGCACTATTCATAGATGCAATCAACACCTTGTCACCAATATAATGGTCACTCTTGGAAAAGGTTTATCTTCCCATTTGCTCGAAACAGTGAAAAGTAGGCTTTAAGATTCACTAACACGAGTGTTTCAATGCCTTTGATGATACCGGCTTTAATGCTATACTTTTTAAGATGACAATTAGAATAGAAATATATATATTTATGTAAGATTCATTGCTGCAGTATTAATACTAAGTATTTTTAATCAATATATTACAGACATTGCTCAAGTACAAGAGCACCCCTTGACTGCCTGGATACCAAGTGCAAAGAACTGACTATGCGAAGTGTAAATCATTCAAACCTTTATTTTACACCTCAGAACATCCACAACGAAACAGCAGTAAGTTCCTTAAGAAAGGTTTCTATTCATGAAGCTCTTAATAACATTAAAAAACTAAACACATCGTAAGTATCACCTGATATCGACATACTTATACGCAGATCCTTTATCTAAAATTTACATTCCATACTGAAATCTGTTTGAGTCACTTCAATAGGGCAGTTACCGATCTCACCAAATAAAGATGGATAACAAATTTACCTCTCCTCAAAAAAGTCCGAATTCAAGGTTTTTTATATCTCTATTTTCAATTTTAGCACTGTTATCGTTGTCATTTTTACACTTGAATTGCACGTAAATGGCTAAAGGAGACTTGACGGAGCGACCTCAGACCACAATGCCTCTAGCATATTATGTTCTATCAAGGAAAGAAGTCTAAACGTTAACATTGAAAAATGATCTGCTTGTTTGATCATTTGATGTGTTCATACAGAAGCTAGCGAAATGAAATCCCTCATGACAAGTTTTTTTTTAGAAATCAATTGTCATTTGAATGCCAATACTCTTTTTAGTTAACTGAAATAAATGGAAAATGACCAAAGGTAAGTTCCTTAAAACAGACAACATACACTTCATCTGTTCACGGGATGTTTTTAACTTTTAGAGAAACTCAATATTTTTCACACTGCACACTGCTTGAATTTTCATTTTACTGATAAAATAAAACTGCTATTCATCAAAGATTATATAATGGACTCGATCTGAAGGGTTCGAACGTGAGACACCCCAAAATGGCTACTTACGATAAATGTTGATTAATCGTAAACGTTCCTTCAATTCTATTTTTAAATTAATAATAAATTTTAATCAACATTAAATACATAGTTACGACAAACCTCTACAATATCAGTGACATTTTCCGTTGTCTGTTTCTTTTGATATCACTTTATTTACGGCTTTTCGATTTTCACATATCTCCCAATGCTCACTGATCATTGGTGAACTAATCACGTGATATCTATTTATATCATTATGAACATTTTGATATCATTTACACACATCACTTAACATCCATGTTGGTCCATCCGAATATATTTGAGGCCCAATTTTACGTGTTAAAGAACAAGTTGGTACATCACAGACTTATTTCTAAATATTCTGTTATAATATCTTTCAAAACATGTAAAATTTGATACAAGTACAAGCAATAAGCAATTACAGCAGAGAAGTCTGTAGTTGATTTGACATTTCCAGCATGTTACTTTGCCATACACATGTATCATCGTTTTTTATTTTAGATAAACGTCTTTATTTCTGAGATTAAAACAACCGGATATTGTGAGCCCTCTATACCGAATGATTGCCGGTATATGAACCAATCTTCCTATCTAATCAACGATGGACCTTTCAGGTTTGTGATTTAGGTTAATGTTTCAACGCTCTATTGAACGGTGTTAGGATCTACTTCTGAAAAAAGTGATAATGCCAACTTAGCTGTTATAATATATCATATAATGTGTTCAGACAATTTTATTTCTAATGATTTAGATAGACGCTGTCTTTTGATTAAGTGATCAAAATTTCTCCAAACTAAAGAAATACCATACAAAATTACACTTACATATTCATCAAAATCTTCAACCGCGATGCATTAGTCTTTATTATATACTCCTTCTTCATTTCTTATCATTCACAATAAAGATAAACTTTAAATTTTAAAACAAATTTTATGAAACGCGTTGTTAATCGAATAATTTTCATGATCTTATCCATGATATACTCATTAATTTTGACGCTCGCCCAAAGATGGCGACCACCATTCCAGTTGAGGCAGATAGTCAACACTTTATCATAACAGAATGCTAGTATGGTTTACCGAAATGTGCTGTGGAGAGTAAAATGTTAATCAAATTCTGATTCACTTTTCCCCGCTTCCAGTGTGTTTGCCGGTAATGTCCGAATGTCAATACAGGCGATAACCGTTACATTGGGATATATTCTTAATCGGGGGTCTTCTTTAATTAATAAGATCTCAACTACTGTTCGAGTATTACGGTCTCCTACATCTACTTGATAATTCTGTAGATAATGATATATAAATCAAAATCTCCATTTAAAACAAACACACTGACAATGATTTTTTGTCGATACCACTCCACCATAACAGTTGTTATGTCGATCTATTTTAGTAAATATATACCTTTCCCACTCTGAGATGGGCATGAGTTTGATCATGTACACTAGGAGTCAATACCAAAAAAAAGTTTCAAATGACTGGACTACAGCCTGGCTGTAACCTATCGACAACTTGACGTCACCAAAAGATGTTTTGATTTGCCAAGAACATATGAGGGACCATTTCGAACACAATTGTGTAGTTTTTTTCAGTTTTCGTTTACTTTCTTTGATATCTTTGATAATCACATCACTTTTAGAATAAAATTGCTTTAGAATTGGGATGGCTGACTTTATTTTTATGCATCATGAATTTTGTGGTATTCACGCTCGACTTCGTCTCATGTTAATTATCTAATCTAAAGTATATTAATAAAAACAAGCCTTCTGTCCCTCAGATGTATATTATTAATATCGTCAAACACGATTCATAATTAGTAAATATTTTATTGCCCTTACACACACCATATAACGTCGATTCCAGAGGAGAAACGCTTTTGATATTTGTTGATCTTTTTTCAGTTTTCAGGTAACACTTACAGGTTTACCTGCACTAAGGTATTTTCCACCGACACTTCCAGGTACGTTTGTCAATATTTCTGTGTGACAATAGTAGGTATGTGTGGCAAAGTTGTTGAGCAACAACATCGGGTATTTTTGTCAACATTTTTATACATTATCTGCGTGACAACATAGGTATTTGAGTCAACATTTCCTGACAATACCATCTATGTGTATCGATGATTCTTAATAACATTAGGTTTGTATGTCATCAGTTCTGTAGGACACATTAGGTATATGTGGCAACATTTCTGTCAGACAACACCAGGTATGAGTGAAAGTATTTTTGTTCTTGTCAACTGTTGTACTTATCAAAGGTTGTATTTATTATCAGTTTTATTTATATATAATTGTTAAGATAAGTTGTGTATCTCATTAATATATTGTTTAATCTAAGCATTGTATTATATGACGTGTTCATTGTTTGATACTGTGCCACCATTATATCATAAGCTGTTGTCTTTATAAGATTTGGTTTTATCATTGCAATATTCTAGTTAATCAATATATGGTTAAGTTTCATCATCAAATTATTTAGATTCAACCTGATATTTTATTATTCCTCCATTAAATGAATTAGTGTGATCTATAAATGATATCAAATATGAAATTGTGATATTGTATCGTTAAACCATTCCGCTATAATATTATTCACAAACGTCATGGTAGCATTGCTACATAACATTACATCATGATATTATTTTAACACTTCATTATATGTTATGATACGATTCTGACAAATGTCTGCGCGAATCCGAATTAAACGGAATTTTCAAATGGAGTCACTTTTTCTGAGAAAAGAAGTGGTGTTGCTGGTGCTAAATGTAAGTAGCTTTAAACCCAAACTGCACGCATATTTTTGATTTCCCTACGATGGTAAAATAGGTTTCCATTGTGCTTATCCTCCACCATTAGACAGCATCAAGTGCTTTATCGGAGGACTCCATGGATAATCTGAATTGCATTGTATCCATTTTTCCTCCCGTCTTTGCTGCTAATGCTCTATCTCAATCACTAGTAGTCATAGTAAATTAATATTGTCTTGAGCATGATTTCACCTAGGTAAAGTGACTTGTCTTGTATCAAAAGTATGTGAACTTGCCATTGGACATTATCCGGTAAAAACCTCTATCCCCTACATCTCTTGTCCACTGGACTTCATAGTTGGGGCATATCATCTAGATGAGGCGATGCGTAATGTACCAAACGACAAACTTCACTAAACAAATCTTTTACATATATCTGAGAAAAAGTTTGTCTGTGTTCTATCTTCTAAAGTTTTGCGTTGTGTACGTCAGTCTCGCCGTTCAACCGTCCGTCCGTCGCAGTTATTCTTGTCCGTGCTCTCTTTCCTACACTACTTGTCACTGGAACTTCATAGTGGTGAAAGGCTTTACATAGGTGAGGCGATATGTCATGTATCACATGTAAGTTACTTAAGGCCTACAGTTTGGTTTTTGAGTTGACGTTATATCGCCTTTTTATGTTGATCTGGAGTCGATGAACTTATGAACTCCAGTCTTATACAAAGTGAGGAAAACCGAAGGAAATCACTTGGGTTGGCTTTTAATCGATACATGTGGAAAGTAATGATAATCATCGACAAGAAATATTTTCAAAAATGTTTAGGTTCCTGTCAAATCTACATACGCGAATGTGAAATAAACGTACATAGGAACAAAAGGTAAATAACTATTGTATTATTTAACCTGTGCTTTTAGAACATTGTAGACGTATCGTGTGAGCGAGTTTTTGAAGCAATAACATTATTTTCGTGTGAACATTGCATTGTAGTTATGGGCTTCGTAAAATCAATATTTCTAAATTAAAACTATATACAAAATACACCTGTCACTTTCTCTAGAAGCTGCACAGGAAATAGTTTGTAAGAGATCTTGCTGCCATGGTTTCATAACGTTGAACAATTGCATCAAAGTTTTTATCCTTTGAAATAATATCGATTTATATATCCATACTGGTTTTATAACTGATAAACATTTTATTATCTCTGCGTTAAGTATTTGCTGAGTCATTATATTAAATGTGATTGCCATGTTTTGTAATATATAGAATGATCAGACATAACCTTTGTCGGATGAGATTTCTCAGTTGTAAGGTGTGAATTTAAATACCATATCAACATACATTATCCAACTACTAACCACAAGCAGCAGGGAGATTAATTTTTTTCATAGACTGATAGATTGCACGTATCATGTTCCCGTTTTTTTTTTCTGTGACAATTTTCATTCATCAAATCACTTGATTGATAAAAAAGTATATTCATATAATTTTATCACTTGGATTGTGCCATGACTCTAATTTGTGAGTCAGCCTTTCCCTCCTGTGGAATCCGGGGAACATTATGTCTTGTATCTAAAGTTTGAAGAAGTATTCGAGGTATTTCATAAATAAAAATACTTGTATGTTAACGTTGAATCACACTTTAAAATAGTAGGTTTAAATTTAGTAAAACTTATAGACATATTAAGTTGTTATATTGATGATATATGATGGTATGAGGATAACGGCATGTCTACAAAATCGCATGAGCAAGGGCAAGATGTGGAGAGGTCTTTAACCAGAACCTTGAAAACTTGCAAAAGATTAAAATCAGTAAAACTTGATCTCAAATAAGTATAAGGTTAAAAATAAAGTGACATCAGACAAACTAACGAGCATCGAATAAACCTACATATTATACATGGGATAAGAATGTTTCCCAACATACTCGTGACAATATTCACACCAGTCTCTTGCAAATTGAAACGTAAAGTCATACAAGTTGTAAGTAAACATGTTGTAAATATTTTACATTAATACCCATTTCATATAAACCATCGAGTTAGTAAATCTTGTGACAATTTGCTCTATTTGAAGCATTGATATGTTCCAAATATCTTTGTAGGTGTTGGTTTTAATTATAATGATAACATAAAACCAATCAACACTAAGATCTTCGACGCTTTACATTCAGATATATTTTCATGAAACAACATGTTTAATACAGCATGTTCAATGAGTTTTCATTTCATATGAGATTTACGAAACGAAACTTAAAAACTAAAAAAAAACTAACTTTTTCTCATGTTTTACAGTAAACCTAAGGACAAAATTACGGTGATACAGCAATTTTGTTCAACCAATTCAATTACTGCCGTAAGGCATTGTCCACTACAACTTTTTTTCAATAGAAATAACGCTCTTGTGTATTTTAATTTGTGACATATGCAAAAATATTAGTTAAGCGAATTCAGTGGGCAGCAGGTTCATTAAGACATTGTGAAAACGATTTAATGCATCAAATAGAAGTATTCTGTATATATTACATGTTATTAGAAATGCAAAAAAAAAAAAAAAAAACCAATAATAATAATAAAAATTAAAATGACCTGATAACTGTGTAAAGGGGAGAAAGACATCTTAAAAAGAGATGGTTACAAAATTGTATTTCAACAAATAAAAGATGTATACATTAAAACATATTGAGTACCTTATCGATGATAATTTTCGAGCAGAAAAAATAAACTAAGGATTATCATTCATCAGTTTTATGTCTCCCTTTCTTAAGGCTTAAAATATACATCTTTGTTAATTTGCTATCATCTTTTGATTACTCATATTTTGTTCTATATTGAGATACCTGTCTTTCCGTACCAAGCGGACAAAATAACGATACCCCTTCATGTTATCTAGGTATTATCATTTAAATCGCAAGGTGGGATCTAACTATTGGCTTCTTCTATATCAGTCAAGTAGCGTTACCTTGCACGCACACATGTCAACAAAAATGGTTGCAACCTATATCTTTATAAAACACAATGGAGAGAGTTTTAGAAAGAAGCCTTCGGAATCTTTTGATGATAGTAACAGTGAGTATGACTTTCAGTAACAAAAAATTATTTTGTGTTTATTATCAGATGTATGTCTGTTTATTATGACCAGGTATGGTACGTTGTCTCGTTATCTTTGTTTACGATCTATGTATATTTGCATTCAACAGTCATCCAGGGTAAGGAATGACGACTAATCACTTACTCCTATTTTACCTGTATAAGTTACACCTATTTTACCTGTATAAGTTACACCTATTTTACCCTTATAAACAGAAAATTTGGTGATATACATACTTAGTACTGAAGCAAGTTTGGAGATTCTGTTGCTTATATAACATATCGGATTTAGAATTTACTTGCAGACTGACTATCACATAGGAATAATGACCTCACTGGTACTCTCGCTATACATTGTATAAAGACTTATACAGGTGTGTTAGCTCTCCTGTGGTTTCTAGACAAAAAGCTTACTATCATAGTCACCTCAGCCTTGGGTGTTACATTGCCCCTGTAAGTAATTTTCACATATCTTTCAATAGCAGGCCGCTTTCTTCCTTTCATTCATGGATTATTGGCAGATCACTTTTTATACTTACCTGGATCCATCTCCCTTCAAGATACATATTCAGCCATTAAAGTCGGTTCTATCAAGTGTATTTCAGATACATTTTTGTACATGAGCTGACCTTCATTAATGCACCATTTAAATCGATTTAGATGAACACTAGGCCTCGGGACATTCATATATATGAAATCCTATATCGTGGATACTGTAATAACATTTCTATTTACCAACTGTTTTGATTGCACGTTTGAGCATTTGTAGCAAATAATGCGTTCAATTAATTAATTTCCTGACAATATAAATTCTATAATATCTCCTCAAAACGGATAACTTTCATTCATCAAAGATCTTTTGTTCTTATGAAGTCTGGAATTTTTCCCAAATATCAATAATCACTGCAAATTTGTAACTATTCAGATTAACATAATTTTTTGGTTATGAAATACATAAGAATATATATAAGAATAATAACAATAAAACGAGGTCATTGGCACAACTGTAAGATACTATATAGGTAAGGGTAAAAATATTACAAAGGTAAAAACAACAGGTAGCCATAGGCAATGTTCATTGCCTATAATGGTGGGCATAACTCTATCACCTGCACCAGGTATAATGC